CTGAGCCCTGCCTGTCCCCGCAGAGCTCACGGCACTCCAAGCTGGAGAAGGCTGACATCCTGGAGATGACAGTCAAGCACCTGCGGAGCCTCCAGCGAGCCCAGATGACTGGTGAGTCCCGGAGTGAACTGGGGAAGAGGGGCTGGGGATATCGTGCTCCCTGCCTGCATCCTCAGTACTGAGGGTACCTGGCTCCACACCTGCATCCCTGGTGATGGGGGGACTGTGCTGTGCCTGTATACCTGGTACAGTGGGACACTGGGGTCTTTACCTGCATCTCCAGTGCTGACTGTGCTATGTACTTGCACCCCCAGTACAAGGGGACTGGGGAGGGACACATTGTGGTCTGTGTATGCATGGATACTGGAAGGCACTGAGAGAGGCTGCAGTCCTGACTTGAGTCCTCTCTACCAACAGAGCTGTGTTCCCCACCTGGATCTGTTTTGACAGGGTGGGAGGCATAAAAGCCACAGGGCAACTGTGTGCCCAACCTGGATCACCAGTACTTAGGGATGTAGGAGATTGTTTGGGGTAGTCTGTTCCACATGTGGGACCCTGATGCTAATGGACTTGGTAGTGCAGGGGTCATGCTCTCCATCTGGATCCTTGGCACCCAGGAACACAAGACACCCTACCAGAAGGGCTGCACTCCCTTCCTGGATTCCTAGCTCAGAGAGGCTCAAGGATGCAACACCAGTGGGCTGCATAACCCCATTCCCTGTGGAGCTTGCTGACTGCTGTGTGCCTCTCTTCCCTCTGCAGCTGCTTTGAGCACAGACCCTACGGTGCTGGGCAAGTACCGTGCTGGCTTCAGTGAGTGCATGAACGAGGTGACACGCTTCCTCTCCACCTGTGAGGGTGTCAACACCGAGGTGCGCACTCGGCTCCTGGGCCACCTGGCCAGCTGCATGACCCAGATCAACGCCATGAACTACCCTGCACCCCCACCACCACCACCACCGCTGCCACCAGCTGCAGCCTTTGGGCCACCCCTGGTGCCGCCGGGCAGCGCTACAGGGCCGCTCCCGGGCATGCCCTGCAAGCCAGGCACTGACACGGCCAAGGTGTACAGTGGCTTTCAGATGCTGCCAGCCTCCGATGGGCAATTTGCCTTCCTCATCCCCAGCACTGCCTTTGCTCCTGGCGGAGCTGTGCTGCCTTTCCCTCAGCTGCCACTGCTGCCTCGCCGCCTGGCCCGCCACCCGGCACAGCTGACTCGGTCTGGAGACCCTGGTGAGGGTGGTGGGCACTGGACTGGACTGAGCACTGCACCCCGTGCTGCTGGCACGGCTGTACATAGGTTATATGTTCATATTGGATTGTGCCTTTGTACCATAGTACTCCTTTGACAGTGTTTCGTGTTTTACACGAGATCTTTTTTCTCCCTTCCTTCCCCTTCCTCGTGACACCAAAGATTGGGCGGTTGGGTTTTGGTTGGGTGGGGGTTTGTTTTGGGATTGGTTTTTTTGGGTGGGTTTGGGATATGCACAAATATTTTTCTTGCATATATTCTGTATATAACAGGATTTGAAGTGCAAAATAGTTTTTTTTTAGTTTTTTGTTTGGATTTTTTTTTTTTTTTTGAATGCTCTTAAAATAAAAGAGTCTCTTCCATTTCGGAAGGCCTTTGGAGATAAGTTGGAGTGCTGGCATGTGTGCATAGGAGGGAGTCCTGCTCCTGGCTTGCTCCTGGCTGCCTGTGGATCATGCTGTTCCAGGGCTGCCTTGTCCTGCGCTCCAGGCTGGAGCTGTCAGTCAGTTCCTCTGCCCCCTGTCTTCTGGTGAAGTCACCTGGCCCCTCTCCCTGCCTCGGGGCAGATGTAATTACTGCTTCCTTGGGAGCAGGCACCTCATCAGGCTTGTTAAAAAGAGCTTATGTTTGCAGAGCTGGTGAACCGCTGAGGGAGGCACCTCTGCTCTGTTCCTGGCTACTTGGGCTGATGGAGTGGAGTAGCCCAGGTAAAGCGAGGCAGATTTCGGCTCTCAGCGAGGCAGATTTCGGCTCTCAGCCCAGGCTGCCCGGGTGAGCTTCCTGCCCCGGACCCGGAGGGGCCCGCTCCCGGGCCATGGTGTAAGTTGCGAATGACTCCTGTCAGTTGATGTGGAGACCAGCTCCTGCCAGCTTCTCGAGTTACAAAACCAGCGGCTCTCCGCAGGACCTGACACCAGTGCTCCTGCCTCCTGGCTGACAGGCTGCAGCAGGCGTTGGGCACCACCTCCACCTGGACTTAAAAGCACAGAGCTGTTCCCAACTCTGAGCACCAGCCAGGCTCTGCGCGGTGATTAATGCTCTGCATGTGTTTCTGATAGAGTTGGGCATTTCCTCTGCTGTTATATGGAAAACACGTGTCTGGGGGAGTGATGTGGGGCTGTGTGGACTATCTCTATAACTGTGAGTGGCAACTGACCCCTTTGATTTGGGGATGCCCCATTTCCAGACAAGATGCAAGCCCTAGATAGAGTGAGCAGCAGTCTCAAGTTACAGCTTGCATTGCCCTTCTTAACAAGTTCTAACTCGGAGCGGACAGCTTTAAAACATGCCAGGATACACTGGGGATTCCTTCCAAATCCTGTTGCAAAAGCCTGTTGGATTTTTGTCTGGATGAGCCAGGTGCTTGACTGTATCCAGGTGCTGGGAAATGAAAGCTGGAGAGAGTGTGAGACTAGACAGATAAAACCTGCTGGGGTTTGAATCCCTCCCTGTCTCCCTGTATACAGACATCCTCATGACCTGAAAAATACTTCTTGGGATGGATTTTGGAGGTGGGGAAGAGTTGTCCTGGATATCTTCATGCAGGGTGTACTGATGAGGTTGGAGCTACCTTTTAAAAAGGGTCTGAAGGGGCTGATCTCCACGGGTGATGTAGAAGAGCTTCCCCTCTGTCACCCACCACCTTGCTGACCTGCTTGCGTTGCCACCCTCACGGTGGCATCTTGCAGCCAGGTTTTGTGTGCCAGGCTTGGGAACATTGGCTTTGCTGTCCATAGGCAGGGGTGTGGCCAATCAGGAAACATTGGTTTTGCTGTCCATAGGCAGGTGTGTGGCCACTCAGGCTGAGCCTGCTTTCCCTTCCACCAGCTGTACCATCACCTTTTTGTGCTGGAGATACCAAGGGCAGGACTGACCCCACGTTGTGTTCGGAGGAGTGCTCACAGGCCCTGCCTGGAAATCATATCACACTAACTCCTGCTGCTTCATGGCCTGTGTGGAGCTGATGCAGACCAGTAGCACATCACCTGTAAGAGCTGAGGCTGTTCCAGCTTAGCAGAGTTTTCCTCTTCTGTTGAAGCAGTTGGTTTGGAAAGTGCATTAAAGAGAGAAAAAAAATAAAGGGCTTTGCTGTAGGCTAATGGACAACACATAGTAGATCCAGAAGCAAAAAAGAAGAACCTATTTGCTAGTAGAGTTTAAGTAGCCTAGTATAAAGCAGACATACCATGCTTGGACCACTTTCTCCAAGTTTTCTGTGTTTACTCTATCCCACAGCCTGTTGACATGAGAAAGCTGCTTGAGTTGTGAGCTTTGAGGGGATCAGAGCAATACCCAGGAACTGTGCTCTTGATGCCAATTACACTGAGCCCGTGACAAATTGGGATGACAAATGCAGGTTGTGGTCTGCGGATCGTGATGTGCAGGAGTTGCCCTTCAGGTGCAGCAAACTGGTACCTTCAAACTGGTACCGTGGGATGAGCAGGCAAGGGTAAGGGAGGGGTGGGGAGGGACAAGGAAAGGACAGGACTGAGCTGCTGAATGGCGCCTCTCGTTTGGCCATGACCCCTGTGCAGGGTTGTGCAAGACAGGTATGGAAAGGGACTGGACTCGGTACTGCTGGACGGGATGCAGCTTCTGTTGGTTTCCCTGGACACCGCAGTGAGCGTTGCCCCTCAGCAGAGAGGACCCCGGGGAAGGCTGCAGCCAGGGCTGTCCCTCTCGGATAATCGCTCTTGCGTTTGTAAGCAGTTTGCCACAATTCAGTGCGTGCATTTGCAGCCCGGAGAGTGCCGAGCTGGAGGGAGCAGCGTTCCATCCCTGCCTGCAGCACACCTGCACGGGAGTCCGGGGGCAGGGG